ACCCACCAGCCCCCACTCCCCTCCCAGAGCCAGGGAGAGAACCCAGGAGTCCTGGCTCCCTGTTCCCCCTGCTCTAACCCACCAGCCCCCACTCCCCTCCCAGAGCCAGGGAGAGAACCCAGGAGTCCTGAACCCCCAATTTCCACACCAGGACTCACCTCGAGTAGGAAGACCTCTTTCTCGGCGGACACCACCCGCTTCTTGGGGTTCTCAGCTGTTTCCATGGTAGCCTGGAGAGCTGGGGGGTGGGGGAAGCACATGTCAAGCCCATTGCTACCTGGGGAAGTCACACTGCCCCATTCTGGGGAATCAGTATTCAACAAGCTTCAAAAAGTTAAAGCTTTATAACCGCAAAAGCCCCAAATTGTCCTTAGCACTGGTCAAAATATTACCAAGGAAATATCCTCAATCCTACTCTCAACAGATCACCAGAGCATCCGGCCTGCTGGAGAATTTATTCCTGGTTGACTGAAGAATATTGACTTTACTTGGCCTATCTGTCAATTTCTACCATTGATGGAAATATTTGGTCATTGGGTCGGGTGGGCAAGGCGAATGGCCATTTACTGATATTTCCCTATTAAAAATTTAATCCTTCCAAGCCCATAAATAGATTAGAAAGACGGAAGAATGAATCGTTGACGGTTGTAAGAGAAGTGTGATCAATGGATCCGACCGACAGAAGAATGGATCCTTGACGGTGGTGAGACAAGTGTGATCACTGGATCTGACTGACAGAAGAATGGATCATTGATGATTATCGGTAAATGGAATAAGAAATCTTCGTGTAATTTCTACTGTTCCGAGGTGGAACTGCCGATCACTAACGCCCGTCTGACTGTGTGTATTAGCAGTTCAGTTCACGCCCCGATCGAAACGTGATCTATACAACTCTTCATTAAATCTCCATTTGGTTCTCAGTTAATTAAGCAGCTTGCTGATTGGCTAAGAAGAGTGAAGGGACCTGATCGGAGGAATACAGTCCAAAGGAAAGAGAAGAACTTGGTTTTAAAATCAGCAAGCTAGTGCGCTCGGAGTCAATTGACCCTAATTCATCCACGTCCGAATACTGGCTGGAAAACTGCGCAAGGAGAGAGCGCGTGGGGCGTTCTGGAGGGCAGGACCATGAGGGGTGAGTGTAGGGGGTGGGGATCCTGCGTGGGGCGGAGCCAAGAGTTGGGGTGGGGGAAGAGGGGGCGGGGCCAATCCAACTGGCCAATCAAGTTGGGTCAGCTTCGACGTCTAGCTGGTGCCGAATTACAGACATTGACTCCGATATGGGTAAGTCCCTATTGGCCCTGCCCCCTCAGAAGCCACGCCACCCATCCTCATCCTCACCCCCATCCATGCCCCTCCCCTCACACTCGCCTTTGGCTCCGCCCCCTCAGAACCTCACACTTCCCCTTCCACCTGCCCACTCAGATCCCCGCCCCAAACGCCTCTCAGTCCCTGGGCCCGCCCCTGCACTCACCCCTCTTGGCTCTGCCCCCTTTGAGGGCCCCGGCCCCGCTCAGGACCCTGCCGGCCAATTTCTTGCGGAAATTATCCTCCTCTGTCCTGCGGTCCCGTCCGGGGCAGGCGCAGACTCGAACCTCGAAGCATCGGCGGCCCAGGAGCTGCCCGCTGCGCCGGGAGGGCAGAGAACGGACATTAGACACGGACAGGAACCCAGGACTCCTGGCTCCCAGCCCCCCAACCCTCCCCCCATTCTCACTCGCCTCCCAGAGCCGGGGATAGAACCCAGGAGTCCTGGCTCCCAGCCCCCCTGCTCTAACCACTAGGCCCCACTCCGCTCCCAGAGCCGGGGAGAGAACCCAGGAGTCCAGTCGAGCGGCAGGGGTGAGGGGATGTGCAAGACACACAGACGGGGATCTGGGCACAGGCCCTGGCATAAACTCGCCCGTGCGGAGCCGGAGGTGGGATCTGAGAGCGGCTGATTTGCAGCTGAGGGGGGACGGACGCCCGGACAGGCCTGGCAGAGCAGAGATGCCCCCAACCTGGGACCTTTCGCCCTAGCGGGCACCGGCCCCAATCCGACCCCAGCGCGGGGACTGGCTGGCTCGGGGGAGCGGGAACGGGGAACAGGGCCCGGGGCAGG